TACTGAGAAAACCAAATTCTTCTAGACCGCGTTCGCCTGATATAGTAGATGTCAGAGGGGGGGGGGAGGAACAACAACCTCTAGGAGGGGGGGGGGGGTGTTCTTCAAACAATCCAAGGGGGAGGGGGGGGAACAATAACAACCCCCCCCCCCCCCCCCATCCCGTTATCTTCTAACTTCAGAAGGGAGGGGGGGGGGGGGGGGGGGGGGCTGTGTTCAACAACAAGTGGGGGGGGGGGGGGGGGGGGGGAACAAACAATCACCCCCCCCCCCCCCCCGTCCCGCGATCTTCGAACCTCAGTGGGGGGGGGGGGGGGGGGGTTGTTGTTCAACAACAAGTGGGGGGGGGGGGGGGGGACAACAACAACCCCCCCCACCCCGCTATTGACGCGGTATGGGGTTTAGGGTGTAAGGTAGGGGCAGAGGGATGCTATGTCTAGAGTTAAGTTAAGCCCGCCCTAAACCCTAAAAATATAGTGCTATCTCCCTAAGGATCCGTGTATCTGAATAGGAATATACATGAAGCTACTATATAGGAACCCTTTTTAAGGCCCAAGTATGTACTACATAATGTACAGTGCGGACCCTAAACCCCAAACCCTGGACCCTAAACCCTAAACCCCCAAACCCCAAACTTTAAACCCCAAACCCCAAACCCTAAACCCTCTAAACCCCAAACCCTAAACCATAAACCCTAAACCCTAAACCATGAACCCCAAACCCTAAACACTAAACCCCAAACCCGAAGACCGAAACCCCAAACCCTAAATCCTAGCCCTATACCGTAAACCCTAAACCCCAAACCCTCTAAACCCCAAACCCTAAACCCTCTAAACCCCAAACCCTAAACCCCAATCCCTAAACCCGAAACCCCAAACCCCAAACCCTAAACCCTAGCCCTAAACCCTAAACCCCAAACCCCAAACCCTACCCCAAACAATGCTATCTGTCAGGCCTTGGAGCTGGTGGCGGAGTACGTGTCGATGTGCGCGTCGGGCTGGGCGGCGAGACAAGGTGTTACAGGGCTGCTATTCGGGGTTTAGGGTTTAGGGCTAGGGTTTAGGGTATAGGGTTTAGGGCTTGGGGTTTAGGGTTTGGGGTTTAGGGTTTATATAGGGCTAGGGTTTAGGTGCTATTGGCTGATATTCGGGGCTTAGGGTTTCTATCGGGCTAGGGTTTAGGGCTAGGGTTTAGGGTTTAGGGTTTGGGGTTTGGGGTTAGGGTTTGGTGTGACGGGTTTGGGGCTTGGGGTTTGGGGGCTTGGGGTTTGGGGGTTAGGGGTTTGGGGTTTAGGGTTTAGGGTTTGGGGTTTGGGGTTTAGGGTTTAGGGTTTGGGGTTTGGGGTTTAGGGTTTAGGGTTGGGCCTACCAGGCGTCTAGGGTTCATAAGGTTCATAGACGGGGTTTAGAGTTTAAGTTGCAAGTGACAAAAAGGAAGCTGAAGCATGGTTCTCTTTGGGTCCTCATCATCTAGACGCTAAACGCTAAACCTTGAAGGTTGACAAGTTGTGCATTGAAGGGCCATGCCTCCAACATCAGAGTACTGAAGTGTGATGAAACAGCAGAGCAAAGAGTGTCGGGTACGGAAAGCTCATGCCAGTCCCAGCCCTAAACCCTAAACCCAAACTACGCCCGGCCTATCCACACATGGGGCTTAGTTAAGGTTGTTTGGGGGGCAGTTTGACTGCTGAGGCAACCGGCAGGCTACGTGCAAAACAGACCACTTTTCTGGCAGTTTTTGGGCGAATTTGGACCCGCGTTTTTCTTACTACGTTGACAAGCACGAACAGCTGCCATATTAACGACAAACCTAAGCCCTTATAAACCCTAAACCCGAAACCGTACACCCGAAACCCTAAACCCTAAACCCTAAACCCCCGCCCCACGAAGCCACGCGGCGTGGTAGTAGTAGAGCATGAGGCCATGATCCTCGGCAGGTCCTTCCGATTCTTGGGGAGAACTGCCCTGCGATTAGTCGGCTAAACGGGTTTAGGGTTCAACTTGGGTTTAGGGTTTGGGGTTTTAGGGTTTAGGCTAAGGCAAAAAAAAACGCGCAAACCCTTTATAAACCTAGTACAAGAATCGGAATACTTCTAATGGCCACTATATCATACGATCATACCCCCCCAAACCCCTACTCCAAATATTAAGGCCCCTCTAGACCCGGGAGTAACCTAGGAATAAAAAAGGTAACCGTTTTTGTTTTCAGGGGATGATGAGGGCACCCCAACCCTAAAAAAAGGAAAAAAGACCCTACTCCCGGTCCTAGCCCTATATTAGAAAGTTGTAGGGCAAGCTGTAGGGCTTAAGATTAGCTACCCGGCCCGGAGAGAACCCCGAGTCAGACCCCAAACCCTAGACCCTGAACCCAAAACTTCTAAAAACCTAAACCCTAAACCCTAAACCCTAAACCCTAAACCCTAAACCCTAAACATCCTGTGCATTCTTGGCCAGCGCCAGCCGTGCCCGTCTCTCTGAGGTCCTTAGGAAGCCGCAGGTTAGTCTCCCTACCAGGGGTTAGGGTTTAAGGTTTAGGGTTTAGGGTTTAGGGTTGAGGGTTTAGGGCTAGGGTTTAGGGTTTAGGGTTTAGGGTTTAGGGTTTAGGGTTTAGGGTTTAGGGTTTAGGGTTTAGGGTTTAGGGTTTAGGGTTTAGGGTTTAGGGTTTAGGGTTTAGGGTTTAGGGTTTAGGGCCAGCAGGAAAGATGAGGAGGGCTTGCAGGTTTAGGGAAACCTCAAGCCCCCTACTCAGCAAGGTCATCAAGACGGTCAGACTGAACTTTCAGGGAGTCTTCACCTGGGTCGTCACTTGGGAGAAACAAGGGTTCCAGGGTTTAGGGTTTAGGTTTAGGTGTTAGCAGGATATTTGGGGTGTTTAGGGCTTTGGGGCGGGCTTTGCAACTGACTGGATAAAGCAGAATACCTGTTGCACTCGCGAAGCAGTTTGATTCACAGGGCTGTGAGGTCATACTACCAGCCCGGTACACACGGCCGAACCCTAAACACTACACCCTAAACCCTAAACCCCAAACCCTAAACCCGAAACCCGAAACAAAGATTACGGACTTTGTTCCTGCCTTCTTTGGGCCCGTCCCAGCATTCCTTGAGGCTTGAAAGTGCTGCCTTTACATCAGCCGGCTTAAAAGGCTTTAGGGTTAAAGGGTTGGGTTTAGGGTTAGGGTTTAGGGTTTAGGGTTTAGGGTTTAGGGTTGAGGGTTGAGGGTTGAGGGTTGAGGGTTGAGGGTTGAGGGTTGAGGGTTGAGGGTTGAGGGTTGAGGGTTGAGGGTTGAGGGTTGAGGCTATAGGGTTTAGGGATCTGGGGTTTGGGGGTTCGGGCTTACAGGTCAAGGGGTTGCATGCGCGCAAGCTCTTCCCTAATTACCAAATGGTGCTGCTACTCAACCCTGAGCCCTTTAGGGTTTAGGGTTTAGGGTTTAGGGTTTAGGGCTTAGGGCTTAGGTCTCTGAAAACAAGAAGCCCCCAAGCCCGAAACCCCAAGCAACCCAGGCACCGAGAGCTTATCAACACCGCCGCTGATCTTGCAGTTGCCTGGCGAGGGGCACCGAGGGTTTAGGGTTTAGGGTTTAGGGTTTAGGGCTTAGGCGAGAGGCTTAGGGTTTCGGGTTTGGGGCTTAGGGTGGTGGGGCTTCCAAGTAGGGGTTCAAGAACCCCTAACCCTAAACCCGAAAACCCTAAACCCTAAACCCTCAACCCTCAACCCGAAAACCCTAGACCCCAGGACTTGGCGGTTTGGTTCACAGGTCACAATGGGGCTTCCACAAGTAGGCTTTACTGTAGGCTCAGAGTCCTTATCAACCAATTATATATAACTGTACTTACAACCCACTTGTAAGCCCCTTTAGTGCATCATTTCTGGCTATAAGTGCAGTTTCGATTGGGAACCGAAACCCTAAACGGGTTCCTAAACCCGACCCTGAACCCTGAACCCTAAGCCAGGGGAGTTCAAGATATCCAAATTGGAGATGCGTCATGAACCTTCAAGTAGGGCTTGTGTGCTGCTACTTTTTTATGTGCATGCACATAGAACCCTAAACCCTAAACCCTAAACCCTAAACCCTAAACCCTAAACCCTAAACCCTAAAACAGTAGCAGCGCTCAAGAAGGGCTTTGGGCCGGGCTGCCGTACTTCGGGTCACAGCTGTCCCCGCACATCGCGTGGCCCATGGACAGCGTGGAGTGGCAGTCCTGAGAACCACTGAATTCCGGCTTAAGGTTTAGGGTTTAGGGGTTTAGGGTTTAGGGTTTAGGGTTTAGGGCTTAGGGTTTAGCCCCCCCCCCCCACCCCTAATCCCTAATCACCCTAACCCCTATCCGTCCCTAGCGCTACTGTGACAAACTCACCATACGTGTTCCCCATACCCATGTTCTCACTATCATTGGAGTGTTTCGTAGTATGCCAAGGGCCCATACTTCAGCACCCTGTCAAGAAGCAAAGGACCAAATTAAGGGACCATATAACTTCCCTCAACCCTAAACCCTAAACCCTGCACCCTTTCCCCTAAACTAGTAGAGGTACCCCCTGTACACCCTATAAGCAAGGGACCATCTCAAGGGGGCTTCGTAAGGCCTTGGCACCGCAGGACTGCCAACCCTTCAGTGCAACAGCAATCAACCTCCCACCTGAAGGACCCCCCCCCGACTTGAGGATGCGTGGAAAACCATTCTATCCCGGAAGATATCCCTGAATTACGTAGTTGTTCTTGATTACACTTATCGTTTTCTCGAGAATTAGCATTATCCTGAACGTTATCGTTCTTTTTTACTCTTATCGTTTTTCCGAGCAAAACGCACATCTGATCATTTCGGGGCGCTTCCCTTTACTTTTCAATACCGGGGGTTGTTATCATCCCTCACTTAGTGTTGCGAACTATAGTGATGAGCTAACCCTAAACCCTAAACCCCAAACCCGAAACCTGAAACCCGAAACCCTAAACCCTAAACCCAAAACCCAAAGGATAGGCAAAGCTTGGCCGGCCGAGGTGCGCAGGCATCGTCGTCCAGCAGGAAGGACTTGATCCCATCCTGCTCGCGGTACCTCAGCTCAAGAACCGACCCAGATCTTCCAAAAAAAACCCTTAATCAAGGGATATTCCCTTTTTCATGCTAAGGATGCTTTTTTTATGAATTAGGGTATGTGCCTTAAGGGGTTTTGGAAGATCTGGGGACTAATCTAGCAGGCCTTAAGACTTGGAACCGAACCGGAGGGATCCTTTAGGGGGGGGGGGGGGGTCCCTTATCCCACAAAAGTTCCAAGAATGTGGCTGCGGGTTTAGGACTTCCCTAGGTTGGCACCAAAAATCCACCTTGAAAAGTATTCTGCGTAGCGCATTTAGTGCGTTTTTTTCAAAGCTTTTGGTAGTGTTGCAACCGGCAAACCCCGTCAAAAGGCGGGATTTATAGGCTTAGAATCCCACACGCGCCCCACATGCAACCAAGACATTCCCTCGCGCCCCAAAGGCAACCAACCCTGCTACATAACGCCCTTGGGATATTCCCCATTATATTAACAGTCCTTAATAAGGACTAGAGTACCCCCTATTATGATCCCCATGAAGGACTGTTCGTATAAGGGGGAACATCCCAATAACGCCCTCTCAAACCCAAAAATTAAAAAACAGAATGTTAGTATAAGGGGGATCCCAACGTATAAGATCTCAACCCAAAACCCTGAATCCTACTAATCGACAGTGCAAGTTTGACAGTGCAAGTTTGCATTGGGGGGGGGTTCAGGGGTTTGGGATGTAGGGTATGGAGCGGAATCTGAATGCGATCCCCACAGCTCCTACTAAGGCTCCTACCGTCTAGACAGCCAAGCCTTCACCCGAGGTTTCCTCCCCCAAGCACCCGAAAAAAGGAGCCCCCAAACGCTGGCATCGATTTTTGTTAGCACTTTTTACGTGCGGCTGAAACCCCTCACGAAAGAAGTTTAGTGTTTGGGGTGATCCCGACCTTTGTTCGGGAGGTCATATGAAGGAGGAGTTCCCTTTTAATCAGGGCCTGTTTTCTGGTGCGCCATCTACTCTGCAGGATGACTCCACACCCACATCCTCGACTAATTGTGTAGGCCCCCCCCCCCCCCCCCCAGCCCCCCCGGGTTTAGGGTTTAGGATTTCGGGTTTAGGGTCCACCCTCTCCCCCCCCCCCCCCCGCCCCCCCCCCACCCCCGAACATGAAAAGATTCTGCCTTAACTTATTTAGGGCAGCATCGGGAGTTTTTGTATCTTTTCTTGAGAACTCCCCAAACACAAAAAGATAACCATCCCGATATGAAGGAGGAATATTGTACATTATTTTCTTGTCTGCACTTAGGAGGGTAGCTAAAAAATGAATTTTAGCAGCCTTACTCAGAAACCCAATAAGCCCAAAAAGGCTAAGGATCTAAATTTACGGTAAAGCACCACAAAGTTTTGGGGGTTCTTAAGCAAATAGTAGCATCCTGGTGCCGTGGTACATGACGGTGGTCTGCGCGGCATTCGTGAAGGAGCCCTGCCCCCACACCCCCCAGTTCTGGCAACATTGTCACTTTGGGGGGTCTTCTCTTTCGGGGTTAGGGTTTAGGGCACATACCCCTAAACCACAAACTCTAAACGCAGAATCGGGTGGGGTCTATAGGCTATAGGGCTGATGGTGGCTTAGGGTTCGGTTTCTAGTCTAGGTTTCGGGATTACGAATACCTGACATCGAAGAGGAAACGCTCAATCTTCAGTTTAGGGTTTACGTAGGGTTCGTAGCTCCCGGTGCAGTCAGAGATAACGCAGAGTCATGCATAGCACCAACCCATTGCAAATTTGGCGTAGCGTGTCTGATCAGTTCTCTGAAAAATGGTACCTTTTGGGGTCCTACCGCAGTGGGTGCCTAAACCGTTTCGGATGTAGGGTGCAGGGTCGAGCGTGTGGGGCTTAGGGTTGAGGGTTAATGGCTTACGATTTAGATTGTTTGTTTTCTTTTATGTGTTGTTTTATTTTATTTTTTTTTTTTTGGGGGGGGGGGGTGTACTATTGACTGAAGAAGCCCCCCAAAAAATGTAAAAGACTCTTCCTTGAAATGGTAATCTAGGGATTTTGTAAGCAAATAGTAGTGTGGGGTGAGGGCATAAAACCCCAAGAACAACCCGCCTTCAGGACCTTTGGCGTCCACGCAGTGCCCGTGGTCTTCTTGGTGACTTTGCCATACCTGCGCGGAGCTTTCTGGAATCCTATACTCTACGCACTCTTACCAGCGGGTTGAGGGTTCAGGGTTTAGGGGTTTGGGGTTTGTGCTTTAGGGTTTAGGGTTTGGGGGTATAGGAGGTGCCCCTCTTTACTGGGCGCATGTATCCCTTCCTTTCCCATGGGCCCACGGGGGCTAGGGTTTACAGAGGTTGTTCAGGGGTTTACAGGGGGAGTTTAGAGGTGTTTAGGGTTTGCAAGTTGATCTGGGCAATTTGGGGGGGTTCTCAGGGTTTGGGGTTTCGGGCTCAAACTCGACCTTGAACCCCTGAAACCCCAGATCCCTACATAGTCAGTTCTCTAAATTGGGGTCACCTTTTTTACCCTATGTAGTACGGCACCTTTTCAAAAGGATCCCCAGAAGGGACCCCAATTTAGATCCCTAAATCCTCAGTCCCAGACCCACGCAGAACTTTGCTTCAGTGCTTGGTCTAACGAGCACGTTCAGGTGACCCCAAAGTACAAGGCTCCGTAATCCGAAACAGCGGAACCTCAAACGGGGACCAACTTACTTATTTTCTAGAACGGACCAGTCAGCAAGCCATAGCCAAGGGACACCCAAACAATGCCATAGTTTTTTTGACAACTGACAATACCACAGGGTAAAAAGGTGAATTGTCCCTTCTAGGGGTCCCCCCTCATATGGGGTTTACCTTATTGGGGGTCCATATTTTAAGATAAGGGAACCCTACTTTGGGGATCTATATTTGGGGTCCCTTAGTTTCGAAACCCTAAACCCTAAACCCTAAACCCTAAACCCTAAACCCTAAACCCTAAACCCCATATCAGTGCTTGCAAGGTCCAGCTGAGCGCCTCATGGCCTGGAAGGCCGCATGGGACACGGGGTTCTTGGCATCGAACCTTCAGCGCATGCACTGGGTTTAGGGTTTAGGGTTTAGGGTTTAGGGTTTAGGGTTTAGGGTTGAGGGTTGAGGGTTGAGGGTTGAGGGTTGAGGGTTTGAGGGTTTAAGGGTTTAGGGTTTTGGGTTTTAGGGCTTTATAGGGCTTCTAGGAATTTAGGAGTTTAGGGTAATTTGGGGTCCTAAGCCCACAAGCCCTACACCTTGCACCCTTTTCGGGCTCCCACGGATTTTGGTTGAATCCCCTCCCACAAGAAGAAGAAGAAGAAGAAAAAGCATGAAGAGCGTCGGGGTCAAGGGTGTAGGGCTGAGGGTTTCGGGTCTAGGGACAACCCCATCACAGGCACGCTTTCAACAAGCAAAAGATAGGGAATATAAACCAGAAGAAGCCTATGCCCAGGTTGGCCCTAAACCCTAAAACCCTACAACCCCAAAACCTGAAACAACCCCAAAACCCCCCTATACCCTAAACACTAAACCCTAAAACCCCCCTATAACCCTAAATCCCTCAAACCCTAAAGCCCTACAACCCTACAACCAAAAACCCTAAACCCCTAAAAACCCAGAACCCAAAACCTTAACCCCCCGCCCCCCAACAAAAAAAAAACCTAAAACCCTAAGCCCTAAACCCAGAACTCTAAAAAACCCTTCTTCTGCAGCCCGGCTGCTCCCACAGGAGCTGGTTGTCCATGTCATCCTGGGCCCAGGGATGGCCGGGGAGCTCCGTGCTTAGGGGGCACGCTGGCACCGAGATTCTAGGGTTTAGGGTCTAGAGGGGTTTAGGGTTTTTTGTGTTTAGGGAGCACAAGAACAATGAGTGATATTGCAGGAACAACGATGGAACGTAGCAGGGATTTCGGAAAAGAGCATAAATATGAGAAAATGACATTCGCAGTCATCAACAGGAACAGCGAGGATTAGGCTTGGCTGGGGTAATGACAATTTGCTGGCATGCAAAAACGAAAGCAATGTGCAAACTAGAGCATTTAGTCCTGAACCCTAAGCTCTAAGCCCTGCAGTCATTAGGGCTTAGGGTCTAGGGTTTAGAGTTGAAGGTTTAGGGTCCAGGGTTTAGGGTCCCGAGCTGGGCCCGTTGAGTCCAATTGCTGTGGTGGGCTTGTGATGCCGGAAATCCTTAAACTGGATGTGGCCAGTTCTCGCATGCCGATTTTTCTGTGTTGGGCTTGACCTTCATGGTTCTGAACCTGAGCACTTTCGGATGCTTCCGTTTGCTACCAGTAGGTGATTTGGTGCCTGCCTAGAGCCCCCATGGGCTCTCATGACCTGCTACAACCGCTAACGGGCCAAGAATATGAGGACCAAAAGGTACATTCTCTGAAAGACCCGAAAATAACCGGTCCACGTTCCTGCTGGTTCTCAGCAGAAAACTGGGGAAGAAGGTACCTTCCCAAAGAGCCCAATACCCCTTAATTAAGGAATATACCTTAAACCATATTAAGGATCTCTATGTAAATTAAGCAATATTCCCTAATTAAGGGATATTGGGATCTTTGGGTTGTTTCCTTCGTAAGCACAACCCTTGAAGAGGATTTGTGGCCACTTCTCAAAAGAGTGGTCTGAGTTGCTGTGATAAGGCCTCAACCCTAATATTTAGGGTTTAAGGTTTAGGGTTTAGGGTTTAGGGTTTGGGGTACCCCAGAAAGGGACCATTATCTAGACAATTCACGATATGGGGTACCCACAAAGGGACCATACTTTGAAGAAGTCACCATATCCAGGGGTACCTTTCTTGGAGAACTCACCATATTCATGGGTACCTTTTTGGAGAACTCACCCTTTGAGGGTACCTGATTCCATAAACTCCCTCACAAAGAACCGGCTCAAGCTTTTGTCCGCGGAGTGGCCACGGCAAGCAGCTCCAGCCCATGCTCGTCGACCTGCTTACGGGCTTATAGGGGTGATGCGTTGGGATGTTCCCCTTATGCTAAGAGCTCCTGAATAGGGATTATAATCGCCTAAACCCTAAACCCTAAACCCTAAACCCTAAACCCCAAACCCTAAACCCTAAACTATAGTCCCTATTCAGGAGCTGCTAGGATAAGGCTGGAACATCCCAAGTTCTGCGTTAAGAGGCTTAGGGCTTGCGGCTGTTTAGAGCTCCTTGATGAAGGCACAGGAGAACGCGTGAGGAAACCGCTCAGTTGCCCTTGGGTTTAGGGTTGAGGGTTTAGGGTTTAGGGTTTAGAACCTCAAACCCCACAACGCCTGACCCCGGGCTCGTGCGAGGGGGGTTGCGGCCTCAGGGAGCTTTCCGAAGCAGTAGGCGTCCAGGTGCTGGCAGGCGCCGTACCAGTCCGCGAAGACGTCGTTCTTGCCTCAGCCCGAAAAAAACCCTAAACTCTAAACCCTAAACCCTACACCCTAAACCCTAAACCCTAAACCCCAAACCGAAACCCTAAACCCCAAACCGTTCTTGCTTGGGGGGGGGGGGGGGGGGGGGGGCATTGGGTTTGGGGCTTAATTAGGGCTGTGGAGGGTGGTTGTAGTTGTGGCCTGCTGCTCTGTAGAGCCCTGTGCCTGATGCCAAGAACGGGATCTGCGCCTTGAAGATCCATGCCCTCCCTTAAAAGCAGATAGGGTACAAACCCTAAATCGTAGACCCTAAACCCCCCCTTAAAAACTAAATAAAAGAAAAAACCTTGAAGCCCAAGTTCCCCATCCCAGCCCCAGTTCAGCATGAACCGGACTCAATGCTCGACTCCACCCCCCCCCCCCCCCCCCCCCCCTCGGCTGAGGCGGGTTCGCTGTTCGGGGCTTGAGGTTTGCGATTTGGGGGGCTTCAGGTAAGCTGTGCGCACCCGACAAAAGCTGAGTGGAGCTCCAGCTGGGAACTCGGTGTCCTTGACATACCACCAGAACCTCGGGACGGTTGAATGTATTCCGGTGGTTTTGGCTTCGGCGCATGAAGGGCCGAAGGTCCAGACATCTCCTGATGCTCAACCCCCAAGATTTTGTAGGTCCAAGCTTCTGCTTAGGGATAAGGGTCGAGGGTTTTAGGGTTTTAGGCTTTCACTTGCTGGTTCTCCATGTAACCAGCAAAAAAATAAGGGAATTAGGCATCCTCCTATCTTCTCCCTTGAAGGGTGTACATACATCGATATAGCGGGGGGTCTAGGGTACCTAATTTCCTCCTCCCTTGTAAGCAGTAGGTTTAGTGTTTAGAATAAGTCTAGATTTCCTTGTAAGGGAGGCAAAGCACTCCAACACCTTTCCCTAAAAACTACCGTCCGCTTAGGGTTTAGGGTTTAGGGTTTAGGGTTTAGGGTTTAGGGTTTAGGGTTTAGGGTTTAGGGTTTAGGGTTTAGGGTTTAGGGTTTAGGGTTTAGGGTTAAGGGCTTAGGGTTTAGGGTTTAGGGTGTAGGGTTTGGGCGGGTGCTGGGTACTGAGTTGGGTTGCGTTCCGAGTCCGGCTTTGGACTTGAGGGATGTGTCTGTTCTTAGTATTAGTTGTCCGGTACCTAGGGGAACTAAAGGTTCACCTTTGGGATTATATGGGGATTATATTACCCCAAGAAGGTTAAAGGTTACCTACTCTACTACTAAGTTTAAAGGTTCACCTTTGGGATTATAAGGGGATTCTATTGCCCCAAAAAGGTTAAAGGTTACCTACTCTACTACTAAGTTTTCGACGAAGGAGCTTGTGGAAAAGCTTGCCGTTGAGCATGATGGAGCCATACTTGTCGACCTTGGCCATCCAAGGGCCCTAAACCCTAAACCCTAGACACTAAACCCTAAACCCTAAACCCTAAACCCAAAACCCTAGGCCTAAACCTAGGGTTTAGCTAGGGTGCCGCAGGGTTTCAGGGTTGAGGGTGGCAGGGATTTGGGGGAGGTCGAGTCCACGAGCCGCTAGCACCGAAGGCTGAGAGGTTTAGGATCTTATGTTAGGGTTTAGGGTTTAGGGTTTAGGGTTTAGGGTTTAGGGTTTCGGGTTTAGGGTTTAGGGCAGCTGGCTCTTCGTTGGGAATCGGGGGTTGGGGGATCTAGGGTTCAGGGCAGAGTCTTACCCACATATATCCACCCTAAGCCCTAGACCCTAAACCCTAAACCCCAAACCCTAAGTCCTAAAACAAAGGCATGACAAATGCAATTTTCCGAGGTTTTTACTGTTTTTTAAGGTTTAGGGTTTAGGGTTTAGGGTTTAGGGTTTAGGGTTAGGGTTTAGGGTTTGGGGTTTAGGGTTTAGGGTTTAGGGTTTAGGGTTTCCCTAAACCCTACCAACCAGGAAGTGTCTTGGTTTAGGGTTGCGAGTTGGGGCGTGCACTGATTCAGGAAGCCAAGGAGGGTCTCTATGAAATCAGGGTTTATGGTTGGGATGTTTCCCCCTTTTTCTAGCAGCTCCTTAGCAGGGACCATAATATCCCTACTATAATCCCTATTAAGGACTGTTAGTACAAGGGTGAACATCCCAAGTCTAGGGTTTAGGACTGACTCTTTCGGAGTAATGTGGCGCTGAAACCCAAAACCTCGTAGCCGCCGCACCTGCACCCTAAAGCCCATAAAGCCTCGGAACTCTCTGTAGACGATAAGCCCAAAAACCCCTGAAGACCCCAAACCCTACACCCTCAACCCCAAGCCCCGAAACCCCTCAGACCCACAGAGTTTCAGGGCGGAAGGGGTTCAAATCCGGGTCGTTTATTAGACGTTCTGTTTGCGAAAGTTCGCATGGTACACCTTATATGTACAACAACATACGACTTAGGGCTTAGGCTTTTCAGTTTTCTGCACCCCAACGTCTTCACTCTAGGACCCCCTAAAACGGGTCCCGCGTCTCGATATCTCAGCCCGAGCATCTGCAGGCGTGGTCGTGGTCGTGGTGGTCGACGTGGTGGTGGTGGTGCCTCAGACCATGGGAGTCACCCCCCCCCCCCCCCCCACTTCAACACCCACACGAAAAAAACTCAGAAGTTTGGTGTATTGGGGGTCAACACCCGAAACCCTAAGCCACTCTAAACTATTAAGGGCTATAAGTCAAAAGCCACCCCTTCCTGAAACGCTCCTTAATGATCTCCCGACGGTCGTTTTTTTCTTTGCCGCTGCCGGCGTGGTACCTTCGACTGCTACGTACGACTGCAAGCGACTCCCACCACCCCAAACTCTGGGTGTAGGGTTTCGGGTTTAGGGTTTAGGGTTTAGGGTTCCTATGAACACCTCTGAAGGGAAATGGAGATCCCCCCTGTGAACAACTCTTTGAGGAAAGGGTTTAGGGTTCCTATGAACACCCCCTTAAGGGAAGTAGAGATCCCCCCTGTGAATAACTCTTTGAGGAAAGGGTTTAGGGTTTCGGGTTTAGGGTTTAGGGTTTAGGGTTTAAGGGAAGTGGAGATCCCCCCTGTGAATAACTCTTTGAGGGAAGGAGCCCCTGGGTGGGCCTGTTGTGACTTGAGCCCGTGCCGGGCTTTAACACAGGTCGCGGGCTCAAGCATTCCCAAGAAGCCCTAAAGCCTGAAGCCTAGAACCTAAAGCCTATAAGCTATAAGCCTAAAGCCTAAAGCCTAAAGCCTAAAGCCTAAAGCCTAAAGCCTAAAGCCTAAAGCCTAAAGCCTAAAGCCGAAAGCTAAAGCCTAGAACCGTAAAGCCTAAAGGAAAGTAGAGGGGCCCGAACTCCGCAGTTCCCTGCAGGGAAATAGGCAGAACCAGTTGGAGGGGTAGACCCCAAACCCTAAGCCCGAAAAGTCCTCTGGGCCCAGCTGCTGGTGGTGGTGGTGCTCGTGGTGGTGGTCGTCGAAGTTGTGGTGGTCGACGTCGTCGTGGAGGTTGTCGTCGTGGAAGTCGTGGTAGATGTCGTGGTGATGGTGGTCGTGGTGATCGTTGTGGTGGAGGTCGTGGTTGTGGTCGTTGATGTGCTCGTGGTGGTGGTGGTTGTGCTGGTGGAGGTGGTGGTGATCGTGGTGGTGGTGATGGTTGAGGTGGTGGTGATGGTTGTCGTTGTGATTGTGGTTGTCGAGGTCGTGGTAGTGCTGGTAGTAGTGCTTGTGGTGGTAGTGCTGGTGGAAGTGCTCGTGGTGGTCGTGGTCGTTGACGTAGTGGTGGTTGTAGACGTCGTGGTCGTTGAAGTCGTGGTGGTGGTACTTGTGACCGTGGTTGTGGTGATGGTCGAAGTTGTGGTGGACCTCAGGGAGCGAGGAAGCGAGGGAGAGAGGGAGAGCAAAGAGAGAGAGAGAGAGAGAGAAAGGCATGGACAGAGAATGACCCATGCACATCAAGCAAACGCAAGCGCCAACCCTAAACCCCATACCCTAAACCCTAAACCCTAAACCCTAAACCTAAACCTAAACCTAAACCGAGGTGCTCAGGCTCAGGATCAAAGCAACGGGTCCGCAGACAAGCAAGAGCTTACAGGCTTAGGGCTTCGGCCCCCCAATGCTGCTGAGGGACGTGGAGGTCGTAGTAGTAGTGGTGGTGGTGCTGGTTGTGGTGGTGGTAGTGCTCGTTGTGGTGCTCGTGGTGGTTGTGGTTGTCGTGATCGTTGTTGTAGAGGTGGTTGTAGAGGTCGTTGTCGTGGTGGTAACTGTGGATGTGGTCGTGATGGTGCTTGTGGTAGTGGTGGTTGTGCTGGTGGTGGTTGTAGTAATGGTAGTGGTCGATGTAGTGGTAGTGGTTGATGTGGTTGTGATGGTGGTGGTCGTGGTGCTTGTGCTGGTGCTTGTTGTGGTAGTTGTGGTCGTGATCGTGGTGGTGGTTGTGATCGTTGTTGTCGAGGTGGTCGTGATGGTGGTCGTAGTTGTTGTGGAGGTGGTGGTAGTGGTTGTCGTTGACGTGGTCGTGGTGGTCGTTGTCGTGGAAGTGGTGGTAGTAGTTTCCATGCAGCCGTCAATGACATATGCGGTGTCCTTGGCACTCCAAAACCTAGCACCCTAAACCCTAAACCCTAGTAGCCCCCTAAGTCCATGTCTGTTCGCGGTCAAGGTCGCCCCAAAATTCTGTACCCCTGTTGTTCCAGCTTTGAGTTTCAACCCGCACCATGAAAGCAATACGCGCACAAAGCAGGGAAGCTCCAAGAGCTTGAAATGTAGGGTTATAGTGAATTTCGGGTTACGGGTTTAGTGGCTGAATGTAGGGTTATAGTGAATTTCGGGTTATGGGTTTAGTGGCTAAATGTAGGGTTATAGTGAATTTCGGGTTGGTTTAGTGGCTTTAGGGCTTAGGGCTCAGGACTTGAGGGCTTGGGGCTGAGTGGGCGTGGGGTTTTTAGGCTTGAGGGCAGGCCGAGGCGCATGGCCGGAACAGATCGTCACCTGACCACTCCGGTTTTTAGGGGTTTAGGGTTTAGGGTTTAGGGATTCGGGAAACTTCCAAGCTCGACAAGGGGCCTAACATCAGCACAAGAAGAAGCAACTTGAGAGCCCTTATAAGCCTTAAGGGTCCATGTGCCTTGTGAGTATATACGTGGGCCTTAAAGGGCTTCCTACATCGTGGCTTTAGAGTCCCAAGTATATGGATCCTTAGAGGAAAGCCCAAAAGCACGACCCAACGCCGCTTCGCACCGACCTAGCGCCCCCCCTGAACAAAGACCGGGCTCAAGAGTTACCTAGGAATCAAAAAAGGGCGGCCCTTATTTGGTTTGAAAGGGGGCTTAGAAAGAAACCCTGAACAATAACGGAATAAGGGCCTACTCTGGGAACCCCGCCTAAACCCCCCTAAAGCCCCCCTTAAACCGCCCCCTCCCTCTCGCAGACCCTGGAGCCGACCCATACCCTGAACTAGCATGGGTCTTCAAGACCCTCCGAAAACTACTCCTTGAACATGATCCTCTTGAACCCAGCAAGGACAATTAAGACAATGTCCCAAAGGCCTACCCAGTGAAGAAAGCCCCCTAAACCCTAAACCCTAAGCCCTAAGCCCTGAAGGAATGCCCCTGACCTTGGGGGTGCCGATGTAGCCGGCAGCGCACTCCACGGTCGCACCGAAATTGTGGATCGCCAGGGAAGCTGGCCGGTTTAGGTTTTAAGGTTTAGGGGCTCCAAACCCTAAACCCTATAAACCCTAAACCCTAATTAAACCCAAAACCACACAAAGGAGGTGCCGTTTGGGGGTTTCAGGGTCGGTTAAAGGTTTAGGGTCTAAGGCGTTGAGGGTTTTGAGGGTTAGAACAAGGGCTTTCAACAGGCGCCCAAATTAGAGGGATCGACGGGCGCTAGCAGGGTGTCTTTCGGAAGGGTTGAGGGTACAGGGTTCGGTGGGAGTTTAAGGTTTGGAGCTCTAGCTTTAAGCTTGGGCGGTCAAAGACGTTAGGTTTAACTCTCTAGTAACACTTACCACAATGGGCCATACTTTCTTAACAGGGTTCCCAATACTACAATATTTTGGTCTCTTAGAGGTTGGGTGCTTGAATGGAAAGCTCCGACCCTAAACCCTAAATCCGAAATCCTAAACCCTTAAACCCAAACCCTAAACCCTCCTGCGTTTGAGCATCAGGCGCCTAAAGCCTTGTAAGGGACCTGGAGGCTATGTCGTTTCCGTCAGAGGTTTATGCTTGGGCGAAAAGGTTTAGAGAGGATGTGCCCTGGACACCCCCCTTGTACACACCATTGACTCGAAGCCAGGAAGCTCTGTCCCGGCAGTTCAACCCTAAACCCTAAACCCTAAACCCTAAACCCGAAACCCTAAAACCCTAAACCCTAAACCCTAAACCCTAAACCCTCAACCCTCATCCCAGAAGGGGCCCCCAACAAAAAAAGGCCGGGGATGCTTTCTTTCAAGGTGTAGCCAGTGGTGTCGTCTGGCGACAGGCACATGTCAGGCTCACACCCAGACACGGCGTACCTTGGGGGGGCGGGGGCTTGGGGGGGTTTGGGGGGGTTTTGCGGCTGAAATTAAGGGCTTAGGGGCATTAGGGGTGCAGTGTGGGAGGGGTTGAGGGGTTCAGCCTTTCTACTTTCAACTAGAAGCAAAACACATACGCTATTGTATAGCTAAGTAACCCTACAAACTCTGAACCCTATAAACTCTGAACCCTGAACCCTAAACCTGCACCCTGAACCCGAAGCCCCAAAGCCCAAACCCTGGCCCCTAAACCCTAAACTCCATTAGGAAGGAGATCTATGCGAGCTCCCCTTCCCCACAAAGCCACCGAGCTCTACGCGGCGTAGGGTCTTAGGGTTTAAGGGTTTATAGGGTTTAGGCTTGGGCGTTTAGGGTTTAGGGTTTCGGGGTGCACCGAAAGGATCATAAACCAAAAAAAACCATCACCCGGTAAAGACCCTGCTTCCACGAACTCCAGCCAGGCAGCTCTTGCCCATCGGCTGCACATGCCTCTCAAAAGGGCATTTAGAGTTCTGGGCGGTCTTTGGACTTCCTACTCGGTGTAGGTGTTGAGGTTTTGGGGGACTGGGGTAGGCTGGGGCCTATCCGAACAGTAACGGTTTAGGGTGTAGGGTTTAGGGTTTAGGGTTGAGGGTTTAGGGTTGAGGGTTTAAGGTTTAAGGTTTAATCTCTCGTGTATTTTGTGTCTCTAGGCCCATTGCAGAGCTCCCGAAACCTCAAGCCTAACCATGCCCTTCCAACCCTAAGACCGGAAGCCCTAAACCCTAAACCCTAAACCCTAAACCCTAAACCCTAAACCCTAAACCCTAAACCCTAAACCCTAAACCCTAAACCCTAAACCCTAAACCCTAAACCCTAAACCCTAAACCCTAAACCCTAAACCCTAAACCCTAAACCCATCCTCCTGTCAAGCCTTCTGGCTCGCTCGGACGAGAACGACTGGAGACCATAGCAAGGTTCCACTTGGTCTAAAGGAGTCCCTTTTGGCGGCCACTATTACTTAGGGTACCCAAAACAGGTGCAATTATCTTTAGGAGTGACCACTTGGAGTTTAGGGTTTAGGGTTTGGGGTTTCGGGTTTGGGGTTTCGGAGCTTAGGGTTTAGGGTTCTTAGAGTTTAGGTTGTAAAGGCCGGTGGCCTCTTTATCTGTTACCCTTATACCTTAATATAGCCCCTAGATACCCTTATAAGAACCCCCTAGAAAACAGAAACCCTACTTAAAGGAGACCACCAACCCATATTAAGTTTAGGGTTAGGGTTTGGGGCTTAGGGGTTTACCGTTCTGGGGGACGGGTCAGGCTTCCCAGCGGGAAGCATCTTCCTGCAAGCCCTGAACCCTAAGCAGCAATCAGGCCGGCCCTAAACCCTAAACCCTAAACCCTAAACCCTAAACCCTAAACCCTAAACCCTAAACCCTAAACCCTAAACCCTAAACCCCAGGTCGAGTTCATGGTTTAGGGTGTTTTGTGCACAACTGGGGCGCCTCCTATCGGCAGCGATTGCCACAGAATCCCGAATCCCAAAGAACCCCCTATACCCCCCAAAAACCAGTGTTTAGGGTTTAGGGGTTAGGGTTTTCCCTAATGTTAGGCACCCCCCCCCCCCGTCGCAAACCCCCCAACGAAGATGCTATTCAGACAAACTTAACCCCCCCCTCCCTCAAACCCTAAACCCCAAACCCTAAACCCTAAGCCCTAAACCCTAAACCCCAAAACACTAAAATCGTAAAAACCCTTAAACTCCAAAGGCCAAACCTAAAACAACCCCAACCACCATGCCGAAGCACCTTTGTCTTGGGTTTGCCGTGGAAGTTCGCGAGGCAGGCCACCTCAGCCGTGGATTTAGGGTTTAGGGTTTAGGGTTGGGAAATTTCTCTCCGGCCTTTCATGTCTACGTCCTGTGCCTGCAGGGGTTGTCGAAGCGTACATAGAAGGCTTAGGGTTTAGGGTTGAGGGTTTAGGGGTTAGGGTTTAGAGTTTAGGGTTTAGGGGTGAAGATATTCACCCCACCTGTTCTGTCTTACCCTCCCTCAAAAACCCTAAACCCTAAACACCATGTTACCCAAAAAAACCTTGCAACCCCGAACCCTAAACTTTCGGGAGCCTCGACGTCGAAGTTGTGGACGTAGACGCTGGTCTCAGTCCTTTGCCCGTGCAGGTCTTGGAAAGGGCTCAGGGCTTCTGAAGTTTCAGGCTCCGGCTTGAGTTCCTCATGCCTCTAGATTTCGGACTCCAAGACTCGAGGGTCTGCGGGGTCTTGAGAGTTTAGACCTCAACCCTAAACCCCCCCTAAACCCCCCCTAAGCCCCCCCTAAACAACCCTAAACCCCCCTAAACCCCCCCTAAACCCCCTAAAGCCCAACACCTGAAGCCCGAAAGGACTGAGGGATGTAGCGCACGACACACACCATTCGGCCTCAGCCCTCTGAGCCCCTTTTAAGAGACCCAATACCCCCTTTAATGACAATAGGGTTCAGGGCCCAAGTTCAGGGTTAGGGTTAGGGTTTAGGGTTTATAGGGTTTAGGGTTTATAGGGTTTAGGGTCTATAGGGTTAGGGTTTAGGGTTCAGGAATTAGGGTTTCCAAGATGAAGAAAAAGGTTTTTCTAATGAACGCTTTGGGGCTTGGCCTTTAGGTTGAAAGGGTGGTCCCCTTAAAAGGCATTTTTGCACCTTGCTGATCGCTCCCTACTGGTATATTATATAAGCTTACCAGGAGACCCAAAACATCAACAACACCCTGGCACCTACACCAGGGTCTCTTGCGATTCTGAGCGAGATGCAAGTGGACTCACTCCTGTCCTGTGTTGTCTGGGCTCTTTGCCACTCGGTATGACAAAGCTGCAAGGTTTAGGCAAATTGGGGGTGGGGTTGCAAACCCCCCTAAACCCTAAGCCCTAAGCCACACCCCTAAACCTTAAACCCCAAGCCCTAAACCCTACTGCTTTCCAGGCGTCAGCTCGAAGCCAAGCAGCCCTGCCGGCTTGTGGCAGGTCCTTGGCTCTTGGGCGCTTCGTGGATTTAGGGCCTGAGGGTTCCATGGTTTAGGGCTGTTTGGGGGGGGGGGGGGGGGGGGTAGGGCTTATAGGGTTTAGGGTTCAGGGTTAGGGTTTTGCTGAAGTGGAGAAGCAGCTCCATGTGAACAGCTTAAGCCCAGGTCGAAGTGCGATCGTTGTGAATTGCAGAACTCCGGCCAACCGTGGCTCAAGCGATGAGGTGCACAAATCGAGAAGTGTACCGCTGGCTTTTGAGGGTTTGGGCCTTCTTGGGGGAAGTGAGGGGTTGCTGGGTTTGGGAGGGGTCTTCCGGTTTTCGGTTGCCCTTAGTCCTCAAGCCCTTAGGTCCCGTTGGTACCCCATTAAAGGAGGAAGGTTGGAAGCTGAGTTGTTTTGTTCGGGGGGTTTGATTTCAGGGTCTAGGGAAGATCAGCATGGCATCCTCTGCGCAAGATGACACGGCACAGAATCGAGAAGTTTCTGTTCATCAGGTGATGACCGCCCAAGTTAACGCTGATCCTGCTGGAACTTCGCTCGAAGGTGAAACCCACGGCCCTCAGTATGCTGGAATGTGCAATGGAACATCTGGCGGCAGAGAAGCTGTGGGCACAGAGAGGGAGGGCCGAGCTGGGCCTAGGGGAGCACCCCAACCGGAGGCCTTAGCGCCAGGTCAGTCGTGTGGATCCACTTATGGGACAATGGGCTCAGCAGTGGGTTTGGCAAGTGGTGCAATGGTTCCGATAGTTGGTGGTGCAAGGTCCGTAAGCAGCAGTGAGATGGCAATTGGAGCGATGGTGAGTGCTGGATGTAGTTCTGGCAACGAGCCAACGATGGAGATGGCTCCTGGCATGCCCTTGAATGCTATCATCAACGCTTCGCAATTGCCACCAACAGAGCATGTGCAGTTTCCGGAAGATGTGCTAGCGGCTCAACTTTCTGGTGCGGCACATGTTGGAGAAGTGGCAAGCTCAGGGCCAACGAATCCGATGATGCGCTGGATGAGGAGGAGACTGCATGAAGTGTTGGAAGGATTTCAGAGACGGGGTGAGGCCTTTTCAGGTTTCCAGACGCCACCACCTGCATGGATGTATCCTTCTCCTTGTCCGTCGCCGATGGAACGAGCCTCGCCACCAAGCAGACCGCGAGCTGAGACTTTGTGGACTCAGCAGCAATGGGAAAGGGTGCAAGGCATGGAGCAAGAGGCTCCCTTGCTGCATCCCCCACGACGTGAAGTTCCGCGTGAATCTGCAAGTACCTCAGATGTTCCGTCAGATGTGGTTCAGGAAGAGGTCAGACGGCAGATGGCGGGTGTGATGAGCATGCTGAAATCTTCGCAAGATGAGGTGCGGAGGTTGACGGCAGAGCTGGACAAGCGAAGGGCAATGGATGGGAGAGAGCAGCGGGAGGAAGGAGATGGCCGCCTACCACAACAAGAAGGCGCTCATGCTCGCAATCTAGCTGGACTTTCTGGACCAGGAGGCAATTCCTTCTTCCCATCAATGCCAGAGGTTCGACAAGCAGGTGATCCTTCTCCTGGGCTTGGAGGTCAAGGAAGGGAAGAGTATCCTCATGTAGGAGGAAGGAGTGGCCTACCACAACAAGGAGGCGCTCCTCGCAATCTAGGTGGACTTTCTGGACCAGGAGGCTATAATGCACATCCGAGCACTACGTCACCGTCGGGAATGCCTTCTAGTTCCAGACCAATGCCAGAGTCGGGGGTAAGGCAGCAGCAAAGTGCGACAGCACCCACGGCAAAGGCAGATCCATTGAACGTCTTGGTCACTGGCATGCAGCAGTTACAAGCGGCTATGCTGAAGCAGATAGGTTCGCAATCCCAACAAACCCCAGAGATTGTGAAACCGGGATCGGCTGTGCTACCGTCGCTACCATCTCCAACGGAATCTGCTCCGATAGATTATCAAGACTGGGTGTCGTTGCTGCAAACGTATATGGCAGATCTGAGCGACTCGAGCGGCGAATGGTGGGCTCGCATCATGGAGTGTGTGAACAGGGCCTACCAAGAGTACCTCAGGTCAACTCCTTATGAGCGACTCACCCTGCAACCTGAGGAACCACCGGAGCTGATCACTGGACAGTTTTCACGAGTACATGCACGAGCAGCACATCTGATTTTAGCAGCACTGGCAACAGAGGTCAAGTCGGAGCTGGTCGCATCACGAAAGACAACTGTGATTCAAGCGATGTTCAGGCTCACTATCTTGTACCAGCCGGGAGGAGAAGGAGAACGGCAGTTGATCCTCTCAAAGCTGACTACGCCAACTTCGGTGACTAGAATTGGTGGTGGTGCTTCGTGAATGGGAACGATGGCTCCGGCGGGCCAAGGTGATTGGTTTGTCCACGCCAGATCCCTCAATTCTGGTGGCTGGTTTGACGAATTTGGCGAGGTCCTTGTTATCTGCAAATCAGGAAGCGCAATTCCGGACCTCGATGATACGGAGCAACTTGATGATCGATCAGGTC